TGCCTGTTCTCAATTTCATTAATTTCTGCACTGATTTTTATTTTTCTTCTGCTTACTTTGTATTTAACACACTCTTCTTTTTTTCTCTAGTTTCCTAAGGTGAAAGCTTAGATTGCTGACTTTATGTCTCTTTCATTTTCTATATATTTCATAAATTATGTATTCAGTGCTCTAAGTTTCCCTCTAATATGGCTTTTGCTGCATCCCACATATTTTAATGTTTTCATTTTCATTTAGTTGAAAATGTTTTAAAATTTCCCTTGAGACTTGTTATTTGACCCTTGTTTTATTTAGAAATGTGTTGTTTGAAGTCCATATATTTGGGGTTTTCCAGCTATTTGTTATTGATTTCTAATTTAATCTAATCATGGTCCAATAGCAGACATTGTATGACTTCTATTCTTTTAAACTTAAAGGATGTTCTATGGCCAAGAATGTAGTTTATCTTGGTGAATATTCCATGTGAGCTTGTGAAGAATGAATCTATAGATGTCAATTTGGTTTACTTGATTAATGATGTGGTTCAGTTCAACTATGTTCTTAATGATATTCTGCATACTGTCAATTACTGAGAAGAGTGTTGAAATCTCCAAATAATGGATTTGTCTATTTCTCCTTGCATTTCTATCAGATTTTGACTCATATTTTGACACTCTGTTGTTAGGTGCATACATATTAAGTATTGCTATGTCTTCTTAAAATTGACCCCTTTATCATTATGTAACGTCTCTCTAACCCTGATAATTTTTCTTGCTCTGAAGTCTGCTTTCTCTAAAGTTAAAACTAGTCCAGCTTTCTTTTGATTAGTGTTAGCACAGTGTGTTTTTCTCTATCATTTTACTTTTAATCTGTCTTGATACTGAAAGATTTTTTTCTATTCATTTCCCTTGTTCATTGTTTAATTTTCCCTTCCAATATTTTTCTACATTCTCTAATTTTGAGCATTTTATATATTGATATAATTTCCTCTTTTCTACTTTCTTAGCATATCATTTACACTTAAAAAACTTTTATTTCATTATTTTTATGGCCATTTATTATTCATATTTTTGGGTTTTATTTTATTCATCTTCTTTTTAAAGAAGACCCTTTAACATTTCTTGTAACACTGGTTTGTAGGTGATGAACTCTGGTAGGTTTTTCTTGTCTGGGAAGCTCTTTATCTGTCCTTCAATTCTAAATAAAGCTTTGCTGGATAGAGTAATCTTGGTTTAAGTCCTTGCTTTTCATCACTTTTAATGTTTCTTGCCAATCCCTTCTGGCCTGAAATATTTCTGTTGGAAAATCAGCTAGCAGTCTTCTATAGGTAAATGTTTTTCTCTTGCCACTTTTAAAATTCTTTGTTTAACCTTTGGCATTTTAATTATAATGTGTTTTGGTACGGTCCTCTTTGGGTTCATCTTCTTTGGGCAGTTTTGTCATTTTTTGCAAATGGGTGTTCAATGTCTTGCTCTACTTCTTCTTGTGGCACCCACATGATGCAACACTTCAAGTTGTCCCAGAGGCTTCTTAAACTATCCTGTTTTTAAAATCTTCTTTCTACTGTTCTCTGTTCTATTGTAATTGTGTTCTGCTTCTTTATCTTCCAAACTGCTGATGTGATTGTTTCACCTACTGTACTGTTGATTCCCTGTAATTTATTCTATATTTATGTTATCCTTCATTTCTGACCGGTTCTTTTATACGGTTTCCATGGTCTTTTTTTATGCCGTTTAAGTTCTCACTTAAGTTTCTTGAACATCTTTACAACCATTGTTTCTGATCTCTGTGTCTGGTAGTTTGCTTGCCTCCATTTCCTTTAGTTCTTTTTCTGGAGATTTATCCTGTTCTCTCATTTGAGACCTGTTTCTTTGTCTCCTTATTTTGGCTGCTTCCCTGCTTGTTTCTATGTATGAGATATAGCTGCTACGTCTCCCGGACTTGGTAGACTGGCCTTATGTAGTAGGTTTTCAGTAGTGCCAAGTGGCACAGGCTCCCCAGTAAACCGAGCCGGGCACTCCAGGTTACTCCATGTGGGCTGTGTGCACCCTCCTCTTGTAGTTGAGACTTGATTGCTGTTGGGGCAGCACTGGGAGAGATTGACCCATTGGGAGATCTGTGAGGGCTGGCTGAAACTACAGAGGAGGAGCTGCTGTGCAGATGCCCATCCTATGGAGCAGGACTTTGGTGCCTGCCAAGTCTGCCACTTGAGTGTGTCCCTCGTGGAGGTCTGAAGCTGTCCACCAGGTGCACTGGCTCTGGGCCCTTCCTGGAGATGCAAGATCAACCCCTGCCTGTGCCCTGCCCAAGAACACCTGGCACCAGCTACAGAGCAGTTTTCAAAGGGCTACTACTTGTGCTGGGCTTGGATTTGCCCCAGAGAGGTCAAGCTGTGATCCAAGGCCAACTGCCACTAGTGTCACGCCTGGGGCCACTTAGCAAGAGGTAGGAGGTACACCGAGGCCAGAAGCTGCTTGAGAGATTTTAGGTAAGTCTGAAATCATGAAGCAAGAGAGGACATTTGTACGGAAAAAGCCCCTGGAAATGGCTTGGGTGTGCCTACAAATTGGGTGAGGCAGTGTCTCAGGGAATCACCAGGAGGGACTTAAGTGTTAGCCAGGTTGATGGAGACTCAGATATGGTGCCTGCCTGACAGCCATGTGGGGAAGGCTCAGCAAAGGAACAATGGCCTCTGCCAGTACTTATACCTGGGAAAAAGTTGCCCCCTACCTTCATCCTGAACCCAGAAATTTTCTCTCCAGTTTTCCAAGGCACTTTTCCAACTACTGCCCTAGTGCTGGAGCTCAGAGTGAATGAATCTGAGTTAAGTCCATGTGTAGGACCTTTAGGAGGAACTCCCGGGACTCCAGCAGCTGTACGTCTTACTCAGCCACAACCCCCACTGGTTTTGTCAGAAATTATGGCAACTTATTTTCCAGGCGTGGGCTGGGGATTCTGATATGGGTCTGGGACCTCTTGATCCTGAGGAGGGACCTCTGCAGTTGATATATCCCTCCCAATCCTTAAAAGCCATGTGTGCACGTGGGACCAGCCCATTCAGTATCTCTGCCTCTCCAACCAGTCTCCATGTTTTTTTTCTGTATATCTATAGTTATAGGACTTGTATTCAGCTAGGTTTCAGGTGGTTTTGAATGATGGCTTTCTGTAGTTTAGTTGTAATTCTGATGTGGTTGTGTGAGGACATGAGTACTCTTTACCTACACTGCCATCTTGACTGAAAGCCTACTCCAATTTCTATCAGAGTAGAACTTCTGTAATTAAAGCTAATGACTGATTCTTTCATTTAGTAATCTGGACTAATCAGAGTTTTCTAATTAAACCTGCAGACTATTAAAATAACTTAAAAAGTATCCCCAAAATAGAATACAGTTGTAGATTATAATGATCTCTAGCTCAACTGCCTGATTGCAATAAGCAATTGATATAGTGATGCTAAATTACATCCACATTTCCTCTAGGACAGTATTTCTCAATCTTTTTTTCATTATAATATCCCCAAAGGAGACAACTGAAATTTAAATTTCAGACATATCTTTACTTCATTTTATTGTGCTTTAGATATCACTCCCCTCCACCACCACCAACAAAACAAAGGTTTGTGGCGACACTGTATGTGCAAGTTTATCAGTGCCATTTTTCTAGTATTTGCTCACTTAGTGTGTCACATTTTGGTAATTCTTGCAATATTTCAAACCTTTTCAGTGTTGTATTTATTATGATGATCTGTGATCAGTGAACTTTGAAAAATCGTTCATGAAAGGAAGTTAACCAATGCAACAAACTTCATTGTTGTCTTATTTTTTAAAATTGCCAGTTACCACAACCTTCAGCAACCACTACCATTATCAGTCAGCTGCCATCAACATAAGGCAAAGACCCTCCACCAGCACAAAGGCTCAGGAGATAGTTAGCAATTTTTAGCAATATTGGATTTTTAAATTAAGGTATGCATTGGTTCTTAACACAATGCACAGCTAACAGACTATACTGTAACAAATTTTATATGTACTGGGAAACCAAAAAGGTCATGTGACTCCTTTATTGCAATATTCGCTTTATTGGGATGGCATGACACTGAACCTGCAACCTCTCCTCGGTGTGCCTATAATTAAAATCAAATAATGAAAATTTCCCTAACAAGATACTAAAAATAATTTTGTTGGTAGGTCGTTTTAACCCCAACTAGGATATTGCAGTCCAATTCTGACAATTGGGAGTTAACATTAGACCTCACAGGCTTAAGGGCTCAGTCCCCCAACACGATTGTCCCCATTCAGATGCCAGCTGCAAGTGGAGTCCACTTCTGGCTGATTACAAATCTAAGGGTTCCCATAATCCCCTCATGTCCAAGTATTCACTGAAATGACTCACAGAAATCAGGAAAGTACTATATTTTTAGTATTATAAAGGATTCAAATTTAGGGGGTCCAGCTAAATGAAGACACATAGGGCGAGGTCTGGAAAAAGACACAGAGCTTCCACACCGTTTTGGTGGAATCAAGGCATGTCACCATCTCAGCACATCAGTATGTTCACTAATCAAAAAGTTCCACTGAGCTTTGGCATCCAGAATTCTTAAGTGGGGCTTCACTATTTAGGCACAGCTAATTAAATCATTATCCACATGACTGAATGACTGGATTCAATCTTTCGCACCTCGCAGGTTAGGCCTGCCTGAAGTCCCAACTCTGTAAAACAGACCTCTAGGGTCTTTCTGGTGACCAGACCCCATCCTAAAGCTATACAGGAACACACCATGGGTCACTTCATTAGAATCAGAGACATTCCTATTACCCAGGAAACCCAAGGGTTTTAGATGCTCCTAGTCAGGAACCCAGGGCAGGCCAAATTCTTTATGATATTATAGTAAGGTAGAGCTGCACTTTGAAAGACCATAAACTACTCTAAGCTGTTTTGTTTTTTTCTCAATCACCAAGAACCAATTTTTGCCCCCCACGAAAAATGTAACCCTCTAACACAATGAAGAGACAGTCTCCCAAAACCAGACTGTTAATTTTTATTGTGTAAAGTTTATAGAAGTATGACTAGTATTCCTCTGTACAAAGTACACAACAAATGGTTTTAAATACAGAGAGAAATGCACGTCCTATGACAATATTTGATACAAGCTGAACCATTTACAGATACACTAAAAAAATTTAAAATATCTTCTTTCTCCAAAGAGTCCATTGCGCATTTCTTAGAGCAAAGATGGGGACATATCCCAGGCAAGGTCACAAAGGCATTTTATTGCCTTCGATGCTGATTTTCACTGCATGTGCAGATCTGCTTTTTTTCCTGATATCTGTGAACTTTCTCATCTGTTTATCCAGACGACTGATACCCTTCTTGGAGGTCCCCTGAAACTTAAAGTGGGTTAAAAATTAAAGAGCAATTATTGATATACATACATCTAATTTTGTCTTTCACCTTCTTTTATCTTAAAGTTAGTGGTTAGAAGAGCTCCTAGCTCTGAAATAACCAGAATATGCTTTGTTGACCTCAGGGACACCACCACATGCATGGAGCAATGTTAGAAAACATACTGAACTCAGTGAAGAATAATTTTGTCGTCTGTGGCTTATTGGTAAATTTTGCCTCAGTCCATGGAAATTTCCTAAATAACAGAAAGGAGGAAAAACTGAAACTATGATTCCCCCAATCCCATCAGATTACATTTTGACTGTATGCTTTTCCCTTTACCAAATGTAGAACTGACCACTTGACATACATGCTTTCAAACAGTGCTGGTATAAGGAATGATGATCTTCTAAGGCAAAGAAAGTCATCTGAGAAAAAGCCTTAAATATGATGAACAAGGTCAGAGGTTAGCAAAGTAAACCTATGAAGAGCTGGATCTCTGGTTTCCCACTTGGGTGAACCCCTGCTCTGCCTCAGCAGGTTCTGTGACTCTGGGCAAATCATGCCCCTAGTCTGTATTCTTTCCAGGACTGCTGGGAGAAGTAAATGAGAAAATACTGTCAGAAGCACAGAGGATGGCACATACTAGTATTATTACTACTTTGCAATCAATTAAATTTATGTTAAATAAGTGTATTTGACACAAAAAGAAAATTAACTCTCTCAATCCAAGGGGCTTCCTACTTCTTACATCTCTGCTTGCTTGCCCTTTATGTTTAAAAGTTTGGTTGTCAGGTCATTTCTTTTACATTTTGAAAAGACTGCATGTTTTAAAAAAGATGTTCCAAGAAGTCAACACCTTTTAGAAATGCTGAAAAGGCCTGACATTTATATCAAAGATCAGGGTGAACTCTTCTTGCTGACTCTAGTGCTGCTAACAGTTCCAACCTTTAAGAATGTTGAGCCCTGGCCAGTGGTGGCTCAGGTGGTTGTGGCGCCATCCCATATACTCAAAGGAGCCTCCCTAGTCTATCCCACCTCTGGAATCAACTCCACACTCAGGTATTAGCAAGAAATTCTACAAGAGTTTCAGTGTTCTGAAATAAGAGTCATGTTGATCATCAACCCCAGATTTTCTAGGAATATCCCAATTCTAAATATTTTATATCAATTTTAATACATTTAATACTTGACACTGAGTTAGCATAAAAATTCATTATCAAAGGAGAAAGAGCTGTGCTACCATCCCCCTATTGAACACCCCCTTGAAGGAAGAGGGGTGGAAAGATGGAGAGAGGGAACTTTTGAACATCAGCCATCTGACCTTGGAAACCAGAGTTCAAATACTCCAGACTTCCTGAAGAATCCAAAATATCTGACTTCTTTTCAGACAGTGCGCCCTGATTTATAGTACGTGTAGTCAGTCCACACTGGAAGCCTTACGTGCTCACATCTCTGCCAACTGCCCAACTCCCAGCAGTTCAACATACCAGCCTGGATTTCTCCTTGCTCACTCTCAGGACATACTCTACAGTCTGAGCCCTCTCATCCTAGCAACTGAAATACACACACCCAGGCCAGGTAGTGTTGATCTATTACTAGCTACAGCTTGCAGACTTGTCCTGCCAGATGCCTAGTCACCTCAAGCCTGAAAACACACAGAAAATGCTGAATTCAATGACTTCTCTTCTGATTCATCAACTTTATACCACTCCATTAGGACAGTAAAAGTGTAATCAGTGAACAGTTTTACCAGTGAAAAATCAAAAGTAGCCTTAAAGATCAGCAAGATGGGTTTGCTTAAAAAAATTATGATACAACTGTATCCCAACATAGTATTATGTCACTGAAGAATGGTTACTAAAAAGAATTTTTACCATGCTAAGTAAAAGACAAACTCAATAATGAATAAAGTATGATCAGGATTTTGCTTAAGAGTTCAAAAAACACAAAACCAGTAATAATGTTTATGCATGCATATAAAAAGGACCAAAAAGAAGTAACCTGAAATGTTAATATCAAGATTTGGTGGATTAACAAGTGACATTAATTTTATTTGTGCTTTCTCTATTTAAAAGTTTACATAAAAACATGGATTGCTTTTGTCATTTTAATGTTATTTTAAAGCCCTCTATGGAATAAATCAACATATAAACATACAATGCAGTTTAGGTTACTGCATTATTTAGGAGAGAAAACCAGAAACTCGAGAGAAATGAATAAACAAGTTATATATTCACATGATGCACTATATATATGCAGCTGTTGTTAACGATAAATCTGTAAGGTGATTTAATGAGAAGTGATTAAAATTATATAGAGCATAATTTTAATTAAAGTAGCAAAAGAAAAAAGGGCAAAAAATACAACGAAGTGCTTTTGAATAGTGGGTGATTTTTCTCTCCACCACCTCACATATTTCTACAATTATAATATGAAAAACTAACTTTGAAGCATTATTGTAGACACATTTAACACATCAAAATTGTTAACAGTGGTGACTTAGAGGAAGAGCAGGACTTTGGGAATGAAGTTATTCTCGTGTTTTATGTTTACTTATATTAAAAATAAAAATGACAGACATGGGAGGGCAAAAGTAGGTTTACAGTTATGACTACATGAAACAGAATTTATTCTAGTATTTTATTTATTACTGTATTATTTTCCATACAAACAACTGCAAACTTACTTTTTTCCCTCCCCTGTATAAAACAACACTTTCACTTGAAAGCCATTTATTCATTCTAATTATCTTATTGGACAGCATGTTTTCTATTAATACTCGCTAGTGCCAGTGCAACGTGAAAGCTCCAAGTGAATATGCAAGAAATCTTTCTGAGCAGGGAAACAGTGCCAGGCAGCTTAAAGATAATATACTGAAATGTAAAATGGGACCACCTGCCCCAAAACATTGTATTTTTTTCAAAGAGCTCAATAATCCAGACTCAGACCTAGTGAAATACCAGCACATTACGATGCTGGGAGTCGTCGAGAATGAAGAAAAGGAACTCTACTAGAAGTTCCCTCTCCCCATGCTAGTCACTTATCTGCTCCAGCAAAAGGCTAGGTCACCTCTTCCCACCACCCTATCACCCACAGGAAAGACAGGACCAGAACTATCAACAATAGCAGACAAGTGTATGCCCTCAGGATAAAAGGCAGGATTCCAAAGTAGACTGGCCGCACAGTTTGTTTATAACATTTCTTTTGCCACACTATGTATATAGAATTACTGTATATAGTAATTCTTAACTCTCACAAGTATGTGTGTTAGGGAAGAGAAAATATGAAAGAGGGAAAAAAAGAGGGAAGAGATAATGAAAAAAGTAAAGATAAAAAGAACAGGGGTGCTTGGAGGAAGAGAAGGGATATCAAGGGACAAGGATATGAATAAAAGAAAAAAAGGGAAACATGTATGAAGAACACATGGATGGAGCCAAGGTGGGGAGGGATTGAGGGAGGGAGGTGGGGTGAGAGGTGCGGGGGAAAGTGGTGGCGGGTGAATGGAGACCAATGTATTTGAACAATAAAAATAAAAGAACACAAGTGTATAAATTGCAAAAAAAAAAAGAAAAAGAAAAAGAAAAAGGGAAGAAAGTACAGATGAAGAAGTCTGAGGCACTGAACTAGTGCTCTTCTACCCTTCTTTTGTTCTCAACAAATAAGAAAGTATGCTTTGTTTTGTTAGTAGTTTCAGAGCAAAGTGAAGTGGTAGGAAGGTGAGTGTAATCCAGGGAAGTAGCTACCAAAGTGAAGGTCATGAAGATGTCACAAAAGGTATGCAGCATGCTCAGACTCTCTAAAGATATAGTGCAACAAAGGTGCTCTCTTAAATCCAGAGCACAGTAGGTCAGTGAGACTAGTTTTATGAATGTTCCAAAGTCTTTTTCATTTCCAACCACATAGTGAACATGTATTAACAAAATTTATCTCCTAAATATTCTGTGTCAGGCTTCATGCAATGAGTCCTCAAATGCATGTTACTGAGCCACTGATAATAGGAAAACAAACCAACTCCCTCCGAGAAGCAACTAAACAGTTTACATGCCTGTAATATAGACCACTATGGTTCTAGGCCCTAACAAAAGCCTTTTTAATAAAAATGGGAATCAGTCAAGAAGACCAAAATACTTATCAGGGAAGTAATTATCTGTTGGTCTCTAGGATACCAACAAAGAAGAGAACTTCGTATCAATTTCTAAACACTCAGGAGGATCTAAGTGGCAGTAAGTGCCTGTTAGGGTCATTGTTTCAGAAACCAAAAGAAGGCCTCGCCTTGTCTGGTTAAGCAAGCATACCCACACTTGTATTCCCTTTAGCTCCTGAAAATTCAAGCCCACGCACAGAGCATGCCTCCTTGGGGATACCTCCTGGATACACTCGGGTAGAGCCAAGACTACAGGGGCATCCTGTTGCCTTCAATGCTGAACTTGACAGCATGGTGCACTCTGCTGAGTCGTTTCTGTTCTGCAAATCGCCTCTTATGCTTTTCCAATCGGTTTAGGCCCTTTTTAAGAATACCAGGCTAGAAACAGTGGTTGGAACGGAGAATAAAAAAAGATTAATGAAAAGCAATGATGATCACCGAGCAGTATTCACAGGGAAGACAGAGGAAGTGTCTACCCTAAATATTTCATAAAAGAATTCCTAAAGCAGTTGAAGAGAAAGGGAAGGGACACTGCCAAGGTTCTGATTCTCATGGCTCTAAAAAAAAAAAAAAAAAAAGACTATATCAAAACATAGGCTCCAGGATTCAGCTGAAATAAAGGGATAAGTAAGAAAAAAAAACTTCTTGACTTGATAATGTTGCTTTAAGTCTGAAGTAAAGCTCATCAGCAAAGAATGATCTGGCTTGATAAAAGAGCAGGAAACAGCTCTCTTAAAATCAGTTAAACTTCAAGAGCAGTTAAAGGTTATTAAACAGGAGGTAAAAGACAAAACAGTATTGTGCATTTGCAATCCACCTTGCTATTCCCTTGCTTGCTTACCCTGGATGACTCCATCTCCACATTCCATTTAGGCCTGACCACATAGTCCTTGTTGGAGGGCATGGGCACCCTGGCACGGGCACAGAATCCAGGATCTCCTGGTCTGAGCGCCCTGAGAATGAGAAGAGCATGCTGCTTACATAACCAACCACAGCTGGGCCCATCCTCCTCAGATACACACTTGCTGCAAACCTCATCTGCGCTCCCAAGGTTACCCAACACACCCCTCCCACTGTCTGTGCCAGCTGGCCTCATCATCACTCACATTACTGCATGGATTCCTCAACTTCCCTCCCAGGGAAGGAAGCTTCCTCCTCTCCTTTTTTAGGGAACACCATCATCTCAACTCCTTAGGTTGCAAGTCTTCAAATCTTGCCAACTCCTATCCAACTAAGTCACCTACTCCTGGCAATATTCCCCCTGCAAAGTTTCTCAACCTTTTGTTTCCCCATTACTGTCTCAGTTTAACTGTGTCACTGCCTTCAGTTAATCCCCTCCATCCCATCCTATACCACACCAACATCGGCATTCTGAATCAAATCTGATGACTTCATGTCCATGCTTAAACACTTTCTATGGAATCATGGAGAAGTGAAAATTCTTCATCTTGATTTAAAGCTGTTCAAAATTTGATCCACATCTATATTTCCAACATTATCTTCCACCATCTCGGGCACTAAACTACTGCCCAACCACTCTAGTCCACTTGCCATTCCTCAAACAGGCCTTCCATATACTTACCCCACCTCTTGGCTTAAGCTCTCCCTTTGTCTATAATCCCTCTAAGACTTGGTGAGAGCACGGACTATGTTTTATTCAGTTTTGTATGCCCAGAGCTTAATGCAGAAGTCTAGTACATAGCAAGCATCTAAAACCTTTATTGAATAAACGATTTCACAATCTTCCCTACGTCCTCCAGAGCATCCAATACAATGCTTTGTGGATATTCAATGAACGTTAAGCTGAAAAATCATCCCTCGTAAGTGCGAACATACATCATTTCATTTCTTTTTTTCTTTTTTCTTTTTTAAAAACAAAGCAGCAAAAAAAGAACATTCTCTAGATAGGCTAACAAAAAAACTAATACAAAACCCTTACTTCTCCTCTCCTGTCAGCACCTTTTCCAGGTCTCTTCTAGGTGTCTGACCACCAGTGCTGGGAAAAAAGCAATCAATGAAATATTAGTAAATGTTAGAATCTTATAATAGCTTTGTAAGAAAAAAAGAACAAAGTGAAATATCACACTTAGACCATAATTAAGACCCTTCTCTCCCAAAAAATAATTCCTAGTCTTGCATACCAGGTTTCATTATGGGAGAATGGTAACTGCCACATATATAACTAATGACTTTGCCATCCTGGATACGACTGTATCCAGTTTATTGATACAAACTGAACCAATATTTTTTTCTCTTAAGAATTTGGAAATGGACCCTGGCTGGTATGGCTCAGTGGACTGAGTGCCAGCCTGCAAACCAAAGGGTCACCAGTTAAATTACCAGTCAGGGTGCATGCCTAGGTTGCAGGCCAGGTCCCCAGTAGTGGGTGGGCAAGAGGCAACCACACATTGATGTTTCTCTCCCTCTCTTTCTCCTTCCCCTTTCTCTAAAAATAAATGAATAAAATCTTTAAAAAAAAAAAAAGAATTTGGAAATGGGACTGAGAAAGACATAGTTTTTTCTGCCAACGGCTGGAACAAGAAAAGCAACCGTTAGAACTGTGGCAGAGGCCATATTCCATCAAATCAAGCCAGGAGAGTCTGGGAGGGGGTGTAGACTTACACACTATTCCACATAAATTAAGAGGTTATTATGAACTACACAGACACATCAAGCTAAGAGGGAAAGACAAAATCCTATCATTGTAGGTTTCCCAATGCTCTCATTTGCAAAAAAGCTGAGTTATAGCAACAATAACATTCACTCCACTTACTCATACCTGTTCCCTCCTACCTGCTCATTCTTCGTCGTTGAGGCATTTGTTCTAGGTCTCTCTGCTCCCTTTCTTCTCTTGTCATTCCTTTGTAGTTTGAGGTAAGACCAAATATAGGCCGAGACCATTCATCTGCAACAAGGGAAAATCAATTATTTAGCCCATAAAGTATTATTCCTTCTACCACTACTTGAAATATCAACACCCTAGTGTTATGTTATATCTGGGTATTTAGAATATTCTTTCCTTAAAGATACCATTCTTTCAGGACCATATCTATAACATGTAATCATGAGGTATCTGACTCACTTTGACAGTTATCAACAACCTGTGATGACATTTTATAAAGACAGACTAATTTCTAGTTTACTCTTCTGAAAAGAGAAAAATCTTGAAATTCTCCTTACTCCAAAAAAACAGAAACAAAAACAAAAAAAAAAAACAGGTCCCTTATTACTTGTCAAAAAGGTCTAAATCTTTAAAAATTACATTTTAACAGTGCAGGTGTAGAGTCTGTACTTCATTAAATCTAAGAAAGCTGGTAAAATAAACATGAAAAAAATTACTACAGGCCACTGTTTATTTAGAAAAGTCCACAAATACCAACACTGTTTTTATTTAAATGTAGCTTATTACAGCATTTAATTCACAATCAATACAATAAAGGACCTTTACAGACAGAACATAGGTACCATCAAACTAATACTGAAGCAGGGAGTCTCAAGTAGGGGTGTAAATATCTTTGTAAATATCTGCCAATCTCACCCCTGGATTCAGAATCACTGTGATAATGAGTCATGAGCATTATTTTTCCAGTGTAAAGAACTTAATCAGTGGGAGTACTGTGCTTCTCTCCATCTAGGACTAAAAGAGGGTTGAGAACCACTGCATAAAAGCATCAAAAGTTTATTATTTAAGGTAGTAAGTTACAAATTGTTAGCAAGATCAAAGATATATTTCTCTGGTTTATTAAAAAATTTAAACTTCCCTAAAAGCTTTTGATACTCTTAAAAATTTCAAAAGAAAAATAATTACTATCTTCCAATACAGAAGTACTTGCTTTTTGATCTAGCTTGGAAGTTTAAAAATTCCTTTCCAACGTGAAGCACAGGAAAAATTAAGGAGAATGATGAAAATGTCCATTTTTCATTCTTAAAACTAAAGGATTTCATAAACAACATGGCAGTTAATTAGGTGGCTATTAGTTAGACTCCTCTGGTCTCATTAAATATGAACATAAAAAAGGCCTGGAAGACCATTATAAAAGTACAAACAGCAGCAAGAGTGGCTAACATGGCCTGAGGACTTACTATGTGCTTGGCATTGTGCTGTATATACATTCTCTCACTTAATTCTTACAAAAACCCCAAGTGAACATATAATTCTGTTTTACAGAGAAGAAAACCAATGCTTAAACCATGAGCCTAAAGATATGCAGTGAGGTAGGGGGTGAATCCATGATGTGAATCCAGGTATGACTAATGCGAGGAACTGTATTCTAATGCCTCTCTTACTATAAGCTGTTGAGTCATGATTAGAAAATGCATAATTTTACTTGCATATTTAATATTGGATCACACACTTAAGTATACTGAGAAGCATTTGAAGTCTAAGGGAAAAAAGAGAATCAAGATGGCAGAGGAGTAAGTGGAAGTCACACTGACCTCCTCCCAGGCCAAATCTGGAATTACAACTAAATTGTGGAGAACTCACCTGAAACAAACAACTGAACAAGAGCGAGAGAGGAGCCTTATAACCTCAGACAGACAGAAGAATCAGCTTTAGCATAACCTAACTGGTAAGGAGTGCGGTAGAGACTTGAGAAGACGGGCAGGGGCATCTATGGGCGACAGCACCAAAAGGATATTGAAACGGCCAGTTGAATCCCCCTGAAAAGAGCGGTGTCTAAACCATAAGTGGGGATCTCCAGCCTACAGCACCAGACCCCAAAAAGTACACAGATTAACAGCCAGCTGTGAAAAGCAGCAGGGTGCTGCTCTCTGCCAGACACAGGCAGCTGGAGATGCAAAAAGCCATTTAAAGGGCCACCGCATAAATTTTTATTTGCAGCCACTTATCCTCATCTCTGGCAAAGGTGGGCATAGAGTGGGCTAGAGACGCCTGAGGAGAGACTGGGAGCAGAGGCTTTGGGGAGAAGACTGAGGGAGCAGCCACCTGGATCCTGGTGCTGACTCATTCCCCATACGGCAGCAGTCATCTTGCTCAGGCAGACCACATCCCTGAGCGGCAACAGTATGAGAGGACACAACAGCCCCATCCCCAGAAGGGACTCGGCCCTGGTCCCATAGTGCTAAAGCCTGACTTCTGAGTACAGAGTGGTAGCCACAGACAGTAGATCCCTGGCTAAAGGGGGCACATAGTGGTCTAGAGACACTTGAGGAGAGACTGGAGACGGAGGCTTTGGGGAGAGAACAGAGAGAGTAGATGGCAGGATCCCAGTGCTGACTTCTCCCCCATATGGCAGCAGCCATCTGGCTCAGGCAGACTACTTCCCTGAGCGGCAGCAGCAGGAGAGGACCCAATAACCCTGCCCCATGATGGGACTCTGCCCCGGCCTGTGGTATCTAAGCCAACCTGCTGAGTGCAGAGTGACTAGATTAACAACCAAAGGAGACAGCCACAGGCAGTAGGTTCCTGAAGTCTCAAACAGACTGCCTAAGGTCAGAGAGGGTCAACATCTGACATCATCAGAGGCAGATCCAGAGAGATAAAACAGCGGTCTTCTACTATAGAATTTCACACCACAAAGTCAGGAAATGAAGACAGATCAATTGAAGAAGGAGGAGCAAAAAAAGAAGAGTCTCACAAATAATGGGAAGACAAAGAAACAACCCCCAGCTGAAGGGAAAGGAGGAATCCCCAGAAAGAGAACTAAATGAAATAAGGCAAGTAAATTATTAGATATTGAGTTCCAAACAACAGTTCTAAGGAAGCTCAATGAGCTCAGAGAGAATTACAAAAAACTAGAGGGAAACTAAGAGGAACTTACTGCAAACTATACCAGCATGAAAAAGGACACAGAAACTATCAATAAGAGACAAGAGGAACTAAAGAATATAATTTCTGAATTGAAGAACACAGTAAAAGGAATCAACAGCAGACTAGATAAAGAAGAGGAACGAATCAGCAAGCTGGAGGATAAGGTAGAATAAAGCTCCCAGAAAGAGTAAGAAAATGAAAAAAGGCTCAGAAAGAATGAAGAGGCATTGAGGGAAATGTAGGACAACCTGAAATGTAATATCTGTATAAGAGGGACACCAGAAGGAGAAGAGGAGGAGCAAGGGACAGAGAGACTGTTTGAAAAAGTAATGATGGGAAACTTCCCTAATTGGAGGACAGAAAAAGTCACACAAGTCCAGGAAGCACAGAGGGTCCCATTCAAGAGGAACCCAATGAGGCCCACTCCAAGACACATCATCATTAAAATCGCAAATATCAAAGACAAACAGAGAATGCTAAAGGAAGCAAGGGAGAAACAGGTAGTAACATACAAGGGAGCCCTGGTATGGCTAGCAGTTGACTTCTCAACAGAAACACTGCAAGCTGGAAGGGAATGGCAAGAAATATTCCAAGAAATGAAAAGCAAAGGCCTGCAACCAAGACTGCTCTACCCAACAAGACTTAATTAAAATGGAAGGTGAAGTAGTTTCCCAGACATAAGAAGGTTAAAAGAATACACCTCCACCAAACCAGCACTGCAAAATATGCTAAAGGGACTGCTTTAAGATGAAGAATAAGAGTCTATGCATACCCAGGTCCTTTCACAGTCACCAATACTTGACATTACCAATATCTTTAATACTTATTCATCTGATTGTGACAATGATGTCCTATTTTGTTACTCTGTTACTGGTTGAAACTAATCCTGTTTGTATATATTTCTTGCCTATTTCCACTATTTTTAAAATAGCTTTAAATGACTTTTTGGTATTCTTTATCCATTTTTTGATTAAATGTTTGTAGAATTTTTGCCCTAAAAAGAAACCAAAAAACTATTAACCCTTTTTTAGATGTTTTGCAAATACTTTCCTATTATATTACTTGTCCTTCAACTTTTTTAATGCGTATATTACTATACAGTTTTAAATGTTTAATATAGTCATGTTGTCAATTTTACTTTATAGTTTCTGGGTTTGAATATTTTATTTCAGGTAAGAAAAATATTTTGTATTTCTCCTAAAACTCCTTAGATTTTTAAATATTGATTTTTAACTCACCTGAATATTTTTTGTATAATGTGTGAAATACAGCTCTATATTTGTTTTATTTCAGGTAACAGTGGTCCATGGACCTTATCTGTTGAATAAGCCTTATTTTCCCCATTGAGTTGAAATATCAGTTTAATCAAATATTACATTGATACACGGATATATACATTTGTTTCTAGAATGTTCATTTTATTTCACTGACCTACTCCATTATTTCTGTGCTGGAGTCATGTTGTTTTAATTGCTGAGACTTTATAATGGACTTAAATTTTTTTATTATTTATAATGGATTTTGACATTTAAAAAATAAATAAAATCAATCTACATTTAAAAAATAAAAAGAAGGAACTCTTATCTTTCTGTGACAGCATGGATGGAAAGGGAGCATATTATGCTGAGTGAATAAGCCAGTTGGTCAAAGACAAATACCATATGATCTCACTTATAACTGGACTCTACTCAACAAAATAAGGTAACGAACAAAATAAACCACAGGCATGGAAAAATGGAGCAGACTGAAAGGGACCAGAGGGGATGGGGGAAGGAGGACAATGGTGGAAAGAAGGGACTAAACAAAGAACATGTATGAATGACCCACGGATATGGACAACAGAGTGGGTATGGACTGTGGGAGAGGGAGTAATGGTGGGATGGGTGGAGGATGGCAAAGGGGGAAAAACTGAGACAACTGTAATAGAATAAACATGATTTAAAAATTTAAAAATTACAAAAAAAAAGTCTAAGGGAAAAAACCTCGTAACACCGTAAGGAGTTACCAAAATTTTATTTCTATTCTACTTCACTGGTTCATTTAAAATGAATATTGTTAAAAAAAGAAAATAGTTACCTTTTATATATACAGAAATACAACAAAAACAAAATATACATACTGATTAGTTTCCCTGCCATGTCCTTGTTGGACCGTGACTCCTTGGGATGTTTATAGAGATACATTACTGCTCGTCCAATTCCACTATGTTTCAGGGTCTCCTGGCTCACACTAGGTAGCTGAGAACATAAACACATGCACACACATTAATTACTCAGAAACTGGAAGTCCTGCCAATCTATTTTAGAGAATCCTCTGAGACCTGGTTCATTCACAATAAAGTAACAAAAAAAACTCCATATTAGGGTCTACAGACACTGAACACAAGGACATTTTGTGTTCATACCAACAGTTGAGAGTTCGGCATTACTGCTCATTCAAGTAAAACTTAACAATGTGAGAAAGTGTGAACTTAGCATACTCAGAGGTTAGTGGTTTAATGCAAGAGTCAGCACAGGCTCAGAATAAAAAGACCTAAGCCTGAACTCAAGCACAGCCATTTACTAGCAATGTGACCTTGGACAAGTCATTTAACTTCTGAGTCTTAATTTCCTTAATTTCCTCATCTGTAAAATGGAGACATTACACCTACCTTGCAGGTTTGCAGTAAGGAATAAGAATACCCAGCACACAGGAGGTTCCTCGAGAATTCCTTTAGAAGTTAATTAGCTTGCCCAAGGTGTTGCAGTCATGTAAAGTTGGCCCAGCTTAAGATTCCAATGCAAGTTTATCTGACTCTGAAGTTGATCTTTTTACTTCAAGTTCCTCCCCAAAACATGCCCATTGCTGTACTACTCTACATATAAACCATAGCTACTCCAGGACCCTTTTCCTTCAATAGTATAGTTGCATGAAGTTTATCAGGCCTTCCTCTTATGCTCATTTTACTTTGGTTATGTTCCTAAAAAACATACTGAATAAAACCTTTCTCCTGGTGGGCAATGGCAGAGAAAATGTATAAATACATGCTAAAATAGAGAGGTTGTAATAATACAGAACACATTAGATAATTAACAAAGAGCAAACAGATTATTTGCCTCTAACCTCTTGCAGAATCTTCAACAGCTCCTCTCGAATCTTTAGTGCTGGCAAACTCCTATCTGGTAGAGGTGAGAGCCATTCTTTGATGGCAGACATCACACCACTGTCAATAAATGTTTCTTTAAGGTCCTGCCTGCAATAATAATTTTTTTAAAAAAGTGAAGTCAATGCATGTTGATTTTATTCTACTATAGCCTCCTTTGGATTTTCTCACGTATTAGGTGATATTTACAAAAATTCCTCCTATAGAGTTACTCAAACATTTATTATTTACTGAGCATCTTACTCAGTTTTCAAAAGTGGTATTAAATTTAGTTCCTGTTTTCAAAACTACACAAAGATGACTTGTTAAAAACAAAACAAACCCAAATTACATAAGATAGGTTAATGCTGCTATAAATGGTACAAACAGACTAATGAGCTCCAATTATTACAACTATGGAACTAATGTTTAACCTAACAAAATAGTGATTCTGAAACTGTTTCAGGTGGAAAAAAACTGAGAATTGTGCATGACACCAGGGAAAATTCCATCTGCCTAGCAGAATAAATACCAATGAAATACTGTCTAAATTCCATTTAATGTACTAGAATCAATTGTTCATAGAAAACATGACAATATCACACACACACACACACACACACACACACACACACACGGTTGGTACAGAAAGTATCTAGACATGTAATATGAAAAACAGACATTTATTGAAGACACAAGATACAAGAAACATTGTACACAGGACAATGATGCCTCAGTCTCCTTCCAAGTAGGCACCTTGGGACATCACACAGTTTTTCCAATCGCCATCAGCAGCCCTGTTGTATTTTCCTGAATCTCATCAACGGTCTGAAATCTCTTCTCTTTCAAAGGTGATTTTACTTTTGGGAAAAGGCAGAAAGCACAGGGCGCCAAATCTGGGTTGTGGGGGGGCTGAGTCACCTGGGTGATTTGATGTTTTGCCAAAAAACTCTACATGAGACATGATGCATGAATGGGCGCATTGTCATGATGAATCTGCCAATTAGCAGTTGGCCATAGCTGTAGCCTTCTGAATCATCCGAATAGTTTTCATGGAGGAATGTTCAAGCTTAACACAAAATTTGATGCAGGTTCGTTGATCTACTCACACAATCATTTGAATGCAACGGTCACACAGTACACATGCTCACTCAATGGTGTCTACTGCCCCTACTGACTAGTACAGTGAAGTCATCATTGTTCATGCATGTGCACTCCAGTCCACTCTCCTTAACTGCCAAGTTATACTGATTTCATGCAAATCGTTCTTGTTAACAATGGTTGAACGTTTTCCAGACAGACCTCATTCGTATACGTATATATGAAATCTGCCACATTTTGTCTGTTGGGATAGACAGAGGTAGCAATTTTCTAGTATAAAGTCCTAGGCCATGCTGTTGGTGCACTGGTGTGCTACTACATTTCTCTATAGCCATCAAAAGTAGGCTGTGGCTAGGTTCAAGGAGAAATCAAAATTGTTCAGGCATACAAACAAAACAATAAAAGACCTTGGTAACAATGGTCAAGAAAGGGTCCTTCAGCTATATGCAAAAAATTGAAATTTGACCACCAACTTACATTATACACAAAAATAAACTCAAGATGGATAAAAGACTTAAACGTTAAGTCACAATAAAAGTCCTAGAAGAGAACATAGGCAGGAAACTCTCACATATTCTACACAGCAAGATTTTCACAGATCAGTAGGACTTCATCGGCATAAGAAGCTTCTGCACAGCTAAAGAAATCATCAGCAAAATGAAAAGGGAACCAACTGTATGGGAACATATGTGTGTCAATGATACCTTGGACAAGGGTTTGATATCCAAAATATATAAAGAACTCACACGACTCCACTCCAGGAAGGAAAACAATCCAATTAAAAAATGGGCAAAGGACACGAACAGACAGTTCTCCAAAGAGAACATACACAAGGCCCAGAGACATATGAAAGGATGCTCTTCATCACTAGCCATCAGAGAAATGCAAATTAAAACCACAATGAGATACCACTTCACACCAGTCAAAATGGCCATCAAAGTAAATCAACAAACAACAAGTGCTGGCGAGGTTGTGGAGAATAGGGAACCCTCCTAGCCTACTACAGTGCTGGTGGGAATGCAGACTGGTACAGCCACTGTGGGAAACAGTTTGGAATTTCCTCAAAAAGCTAAATATGGAACTGCCTTGTGACCCAGTGATTTCACTGCTGGGATTATACCCTAAGAATACTGAAACACCAATTCAAAAGAAACTATGCACCCCAATGTTCATAGCAGCACAATTTACAATAGTCAAGTACTGGAAGCAACCTTAGTGTCCATCAATAAATGAGTGGATCAAAATACTATGGTACATTTATACAATGGAGTAGTACTACACAGCAGAAAGAAAGAAAGAGCTACTACCCTTCTCAACAGCCTGGATGGAAGTGGAGTGCATTATGCTAAACGAAATAAGCCTGGGGGTAAAAGTCAAATACCATGTGATCTCACCTATAAGTGGAACCTAATCAACAAAACAAACAAGCAAAAAAATATAACCAGCAACACTGAAAAGCCAAACCGACAGTAACAAGACGGAATGTGGGAGAGAGTTAAGGGGGAAGAAAGGGAAAGGGTCAAATCAGGGAACATGTATAAAGGACCCACGGACTCGGTGGAAGTGGGGAAGGATTGAGGGTGGGACGTGGGGGTGGGTGGGGCAGGGGAAAGTGTTGGCAGGAAAATGGAGACAAATGTATTTGAACAATCAATCAATCAATCAATAAATAAATAGGCAAAACAAAAAACAAAAAAAACCCGGGGGCGTGGAGGTCTTTATTCCAGAAGGACCAGTGACAAAGTTCATGATATATAACAGGCCACATAAGACTTGTACTGTATGTGCTCTAGCCTTCCAGGATTTGCTCTGTTCTCTCTTACACTAGGAAAACAGATGTAATTTTACCAGACTGAGAACTGTATAAAGAACAAAAGTAGTGGTTTCAAGTTTTTCCTTCATTAATATCAGTTTGCTAATTGTTCTGTTTGCACCATGCATTCAAGGTTTAAAAGAAATTATGAGGGAAAAATAATTGTGAAAGTAGCAAAATTTAAGAGATGCTATTCATTATTACTGTTCTATGAATTGATAGAAGGTAAATGTTCTTTAATATCTCTAGAAAACCAGTACATAGTTTGACTATCATTATTAAAAGGAAAACATTTTTTCAATAAACACTTACTTCTTAAGGTGCATGACCACGGTAGGTAATAATGTTAATTTTTTCAGTGCTGGCTTTTTTTGATTGTTCAACTGCCTGTCTTCCTATCCAGGAAGAAATATTTTTTTAAAAAAAGGAAAAATCCACTGTTAATAATGAATTACAACCACTATAATTCTAAACTGTAAAATAAAGTAGCAACTTCTCTGAAAAACTGTAATTTTTCCTACAACAAAGGAAAATTAAGTAATAAATGGACTTTTTGTAGGATCCCAAATTCTGTATCTGTGTCAATCAAACCCGTAAACTATTACAATAGCTTTAGCAATTACAAATTGAGAGAAACAACTTTAATTTAAAATACCAGCATAATTTTAAGTTTTCAGAATTCATTTAATGTACAGAATTATACCTGGGAAAATTTGGTTTATCATAAGAAATACCTTTTAGGCTGGGAGGTTTGTATGATAATGGAATGTTATTAAAGAAGAGCTTCTACAAACATAGAAAACAAAATAATATACCACCGTCATGTACTGTACATTTCAACAATTAAACCCACATGGCTCGTCGTATTTTAGCTATTTCCCCATAACCTTGAATTATTGAAAAACAAATTCTAGACATGTATCACTAAATGCCTAAATACTTCAGCAAGTGTTTCCAAAAGATCAGAACTTGTTTTTAAACGTAATTACTTGGTCAACTAAAAAGAAAAGAAAAAAATCAAAGCAGAATTTTAAAATGCAATGTTAAATGCAGTCTCTTAATTGGAGGTAAAAGAATGACATAAGTTTATAACATAATAGACATGAGTTTATGACTTTTTATATGTGAGAAACATTAAACTTTGTGGTATACCAGCCAAACTCGAGAGCAGAATCACTCCCCCCATAAAACTAACAAAGCCATTAGGCTAAACAGATTCATTTTATTTAATACTTGGTTTTTTCACTTTTTTCTAAACATGTTACTAAAAAATTAAAATTATTTCTGTGTTTAAAATTTACAACAGTAAATACGTTATTTTTTTAAAAAGTATCTTAAACGTTGTTTAAGCAAGGGTTAAGCTAAAACATAAACCCCCAAAAGCCATACAACCCATTAAAAGTGAGAGAAAGGTGAAGCTAGAAATGAGCTAACTCACCTCAGCAGCTTCATTCATTTTGACAATCATGGCGCTCACCACATCGTCAGCATCACTAATAAAAGTGCCACCATCACGATTACGTCTGCGCTTGCCACTCATGCTCTTTTTCCGCTGCAACATCATCTCAAAATCTGACAGAAAGTCCATACTAAGCAGTAACACAAAATCAAGTGACATACAAATTACCTTTTAAATATACATTTCCTTAGATTACAGTTAAAAACTACCAACTTTTTTAATTCTAATGCAATGGAATGCTACCTTCCTTTAACATGCACTTATAACTTGCTTTTATAAGACCATATGATCCTAGATTTTATGTTCAACCTGTGTACTACCCCAATTGTTATACACTAATAGCCCTGAACTTTCATATACTGTATTAACACTTGAATGTACCAGCCTGAGAAAGAACATTTCAAATTTGAAGTTCATGTTCAGGGTATACGGCCTGCAAGTCCACGGTTCAGTTGTAGCTGCACTGACATTTGGGGGGAAATTGAATGGTATTCAATTATTTGGGTATTTTTGTCTTCTACAGCATAAGTAGAAAAAAAAATAAACTGCTGCTTTTCAGTCATACAACATAAAACAAAATGCGACTGAGATAAAGTTGGGTATCTACAGACTTGCTAAGAGCCTCAAACCTTCATAGCTTTCACCTGAATCATTACACTTAAAGAGGAAGCTAACTCGCTCTACGCTACTACCATATAAATGATATGATTTATGTGATAATCTAATTTCCAAAGGTATTACCAAACTCGTTCAGCATGTCACTACGAATTAAAAAGAAAATTTTTTAAAGCATTATCTTTAGAACTGTAAACAGTGGCTAATGTATCATCCAATGTTTTGCACCTTTCAAGATACCAGATTTTTCTAAACAGATTACAGTCATCTCAACAAAGTAAGTGAAATACAATCAAGCACTATTTTGTAGTTAAGACTTTAGCTTTATTCCCATCAGAACCCACAAATCACATTTCCTTATACTGCACATTTTTCAGAAGAGCTCATTTGTTGTAAGAGCTTGGTAACATACACCTCCACAAACTGCAACCGCTGAGCACAGGGCAAATAAAAATAACAAGAGCAAATAATTTTTGTACAGCACTGTATACGGAGAAATAAAAGGAAGAAAAATGGACATACTCTTTCCTATACTTAATCAGAAGCCAAAATAAGAAAAAAAAGTTTCATAGTCTCTACCTTCATTTATATAGTCTCTTTAAAAACTCCTTTTAGCCCTGGCTGGTGTGGCTCAGTGGATTGGGTGCCAGCTTGAGAACTGAAAGATTGCTGGTTCAATCCCCAGACAGGGCATGTGCCTAGGGTTGAGGGCCAGATCCCCAGTTGGGAGTGTACAAGGTGCAGTAGATCGATGTTTCTCTCGCACACCATTGATGTTTCTCTCCCTCTTTCTCCCTCCCTTCCCCTCTCTCTAAAAATAAATAAAAATTCCTTTTAAATAAAACAAACTTACTGTTTTCCTCTCTTTATGTTATCATCAGAATCTGAATCTTCAGCTTCCTTCACCTGTGTTTCACTTTTTTCTTCCTCCAAATCTTCCTGGTTAAAACCCTAAGGCAGGGTAAGTCAGTCAGAATTATCACAATCACATTACTGATTTTCTTCTGTATAACCACTCTTAGTTTTTGCACTTTAACTGCAATACATTGACAAAACACAAAAATTAAATAGGTATCAAAAGGTATATAGCAAAAAAGCTCCCTCCCACCCTAGGCACTACTGTTATTAGCTCTCTTGTGTCTCCTTCCATATATGGCCATTTATATAAGCACTTCTACATGTATTACATTTACTACCCCTTTTATTATACAAATAACAGCATACATACTAGGTACAATATACTGTTATGCACCTTCCACATATCACAATAGAATCTAGAGACCAATTCCTATCAGCATAAAGTATTCTTGTTCTTTTTAAGCTTTTAGACTATTTCACCACATGACTGCAACTGCAGTTAGTTTATACATTTCCCTACTGACATTTAGGTATGTGTATTTGAAATTTTGAGAAATATTTGCCAAACTGTCTTCCACAGAGGTTATGCCAATTAAGTCTCCTTTCCAGTAAGGCACAAATGCACTAGTTTTCCCACCTTCATAAGTTATCAAACATTGATATTTGCCAATCTCTGGGCTGAAAAACAAAGGCATCTGTGTAGCTTTCTTGTAAGGTCAGGCATTTTTTTAATGTTTAAAAGCCAATTGTAATTCTTTGTGAACTCTCAATATCCTCTGCCTATTTTTCTGTTGGATCTTTGCCTTATTGTTGTGAAAACCCCCTTTAAAAATGTCAGAAATTAGCTGTCCACAGAGTCCTTACATTTGTACAGTTTGCTTTTGTTTATGGTAATGTTTTCCATGCATAATTTTATTTTTTATGTAACTGAAATAAATGGTCAATCTTTTCTTTATTATTTCTTTATGTCATATTTAGAAAGGCATTCCCAAAGGCTGTTGGGAAGTATATTTTTCTCACTGAAATGAGCCTATAACAAAGTTGATGTTAAGTCTCTAAACTAGAGAAACATATCTTATTCTTGTAAAATGTTGTTTAACTGAGAATTAGCTCTCCATGAGGGCAACGTCCAAACCACCTCTGGCATACAGAGCTTTCAAATATTTGCTGAATGACTTCTTCCTATTTTCCTTAGTAGTTTACCCTGTTATTTTTCTATTATTTTAAGTTAGATACTAAATTCATCTAGTTTTATTCTTTCTTGCTTTAGTAATAATTAAGTACTGTTTTCTTTTTTCAATCAAGAACTGTTTAACAAGGAAGTTTTAAATGTCAGCTGGCAAGGGTATTCTGTTTGCTGCTTTTGCTATTAATTTTCAATTTGACTTCATGGCATTCAGAAACTATTGTGTATATTTTGCACTTTTTGCAAAAGCTTGATTTAAAATTGATATAAAATGCAAAGAACCAAGAAAAGCCAAGTCGTTTTTGAAGAGGAATAAGCTTAGCGGACATAACCAACTAAATATCAAAAATTATTAATGGTGCAAAGATAGAGACCAATAGAATAGAAAAGATATTACAGAAACATATTGGATAATAAATACAGGCACCTGATATATGACAAAGATGGCATTATACTGTAGCGGAAATGGATGAGCTGGGTTAACTGAATATTGTAAATGGGGGAAAAATCTTCACTCTATCTCTTCCATACTACACACAAAAACCCATTCCAGGTAGACTGTATTATAAAACCATATGTGAAAAATAAAACAATCAAGCTTCTAGAGTATAATTCAGGAGAATACTTCATGACCTGGGAGACAAGCAAAAATTTCTTAGAATTAAAAAGCTTTCAACACAAAGGGAAGGATTGGTAAAGTTGATTTACATTAAAAATAAGTTTTGTTCATCAAAAAACTAAGAAAATAAGACAAGTTACAGAATAGAAGAAATTTTTAACCTTTATAATTACCAAAAAACTTTAATCCAGGAGGGGGGAGGGGGAGGGGGGGGAGAGAAAGAGAGAGAAAGAGAAAGAGAAAGAGAAGGAGAAGGAGAAGGAGAAGGAGGAAGAGGAAGAGGAAAAGAGAGGCTCTTGCCCTGGCCAGGTGGCTCAGTTAGTTGGAGTATCATCCTGTACAAAAAGTCTGCAGGTTCAATCTCTGGTCAGGGAGCATACATGAGGCAACAGATCAATGTTTCTCTCTCCCCCTCTCTCTAAAATCAATAAATATATCCTCTGGTGAGAATTTAAAAAAAAAGAAAAAGATTCTTCTACAGTTTTTAGGTCTGTTTTTTTTCAGTTACATTCCATGTAGATTATACATCTGTCCATTTCTCTTTGCAGTTCTGTCAATTTTTGTTTTGTATCTACATATTTAAAGCCACATTACCAGGAACATGGCTAGGAACAATTTTAAAACTTATTACACCTTAAAGTCTGCCTTTTTGCTACCCATAGGGCTACACCAGTTTTCTTCTGGGTAATGTTCAGATAAAGTATCTTTTTCCATCTTTTTATTTTCAACATCTTGTTTGAGGTGAATCTTAAAATTAGCATACAGCTAGTTTTTTGTTGAAATCCTCACCTGAGGATTTTATTTTAAAATCAATGTGTATTCATTTTAAAGACAGAAAGAAAGGGAGTAGGGATGGGGAGGGAGGGGGAGAGGGAGGTGGGAATGAGAGAGACAGACAGACATTGATTGGCTGCTTCCAATAAGCGCCCCCACTGGGGCTTGAACCTGCAACCTAGGTATGTGCCCTGACCATGTATCAAACCTGCAGCCATTTGGGGTATGGGATGATGCTCCAAGCAACTGAGGCATCTGGCCAGGGCTACAGCTGGTTTTTAAAAATCTAGTCTAACTATCTTTATCCTTTAATTGGAGCATTTAATTCAAGTTAATGTAATTTCTGAGATTCAAATTTTAAATCTGCCTACCTTACTATGTACTACTTTCTAACTGTCCCCCTGTTCAGTACTTTTTTTCTTTTCTTGCCTTCCCTTGGATTGATTAGCTATTTTTCTTTTTTTAATCTCACCTGAGGACATATTTTCATTACCTTGAGAGAGAGAGAGAGAGAGAGAGAGAGAGATAGAAACACTGATTGGTTGCCTTTTGCACAGGCCCTGACTGAGGGTCAAACCCACCTTTCATTCCACTAGATGATGCTCCAACCAACTGAGCCACACAGCCAGGGCTGTATTTACTAGCTTTTATTATTCCCCTTTCCCCCCCTCCAATAGGTTGGAAGTTATACATACCATTAATCTTTTTACTGGTCATTTTAGAGATTACAACAGGCACCCTAACCTAGCAAAGTCTAATGTATTTTTACAAACATTTGTAAAGGCCTGAGAACACTTCAATTCCATGTATATTCTCAATCTGTAATTGCTGTCATGGTTAACTTTACATATATTTAAAACCACAACAGACATGACTTTGTTTTGCACAGACAACACTCATTTAGACTTATCCACATATTTTTGTTGCTTTTTTTTCCCTTCTTACATCCTTGACCTTCTACTTGAGATTTTATTTCTGCCTTTAGTATGTCCTTCAGTAGTATATTGGTAAGACAAAATAAGAGGGAATGTTCATTCCTGAAAAGTGTTTTTGCTGAATATAACAGAATTCAAAGTTTGCAGTTACTGGATTCTGTAGTTTCTGTTCAGAAGTCAGCTGTTAGTGTGACTGTTGCCTCTTTTTACTATATGTAATTTTTTCCCCCTCTGGCTGCTTTTAAGATGTCCGTTTTCTTTGGTTTCTTGCAATTTTACTATGATGTGTTTAGGTAATCTCCTTGTATTTATCCTGCTTGTAATTTATAGAAATTCTGGAATCCATAATTTTAAGTATAATTTCTTTAAATATTGCTTATGCTATGTAAATATTTTCCTTCTCCTCCTGGGATTCTTATTCACTATATTAAACTTTCTCATGTATAAATTATGTTCTATTCTTTTACATTTCCATACTAATATATTTCAATACTTCATTCTAAAAAGTTCCCTCTAGCCTATCTCCCAATTCACTCATTAATATATTTAAGCTGCTGTTAAATTCATTCACCAAGCTTTTAATTTCAGTCACTATATTTTTACAGTTCCAGAATTTCCACTTCTTTCTTTTCCACATCTTTCATGTCTTTTAAAAAATTGTTTGCTCTGCCCTAACTGGCTCACTGGGTTGGGTGGGATTCCACAAACCAAACAGTAGCCAGTTCAAGTCCCCGTGAGGGAATATGCCTGGGTTTTGGGCCAGGGCCCCAGTGCAGGTTGCGTGAGAGGCAGCTGATCAATGTGTCTCTCTCACACTGATGTTTCTCTCCTTCCCCCACCCCCGCTAAATATAAATAAATATTTTAAAATAAATGTTTCCTCTGACAATACTTTAATCTTTTATCTCCCTGAACACAGGTTTTTGTTTTTTTTAAGGCATTATCTAAAATTCCTGTATCTAGAGCCACTAGGTCTATTTCTATTGTTTGTTTTTATTGTTTCTTTTTAACATTATCCATGGTGTACCATACTGTGTATTTGAAACACTACAGAAATAATCTGAGAGGTACAATTATGTTCCCTTTGTCCTAAAAGGATTTATTTGCATATGCCAGATGCCTAAGAACACTAGCTAAGAGGCCAAGAATCACTGTAATCAAATTCCTGAGACCAAGGTTGTCTAGGTTGCTAGATTACTCAAAGCTGGCCTAAAATCTGAGTAAAGGTTATTTCACTTACAGTTCACCCTTAATCCTAGAAGTGCCAGAGCATGGGATTTTCAGGGTCTTATAGCCTCAGCAGGCCCTAACTTCCAAATTTTGTCTCGAGTCTTGAGGACATCAAAACGTGATCAGCTTCTCAGCCTGGACAGGACAGGCAAACATTCCAGAAAAGGCAGTTCTAAATGCTGAGCTTACTCTCTTTAGGTTTCTGTCTTTTCCTGGTTTGGACTTACTAATTCTCTGCTACCTTGTTCCTCTCCTCTAATGATGATGATTTTGCTAGACAGAAGTTTCATAATTATTGTGAATTTTCCTCTTTAGCATTACAAAGTGCCTTTTGTTGTCTCTTAATGTGTTCCCTCCCCCCTTAATTCAATTTTGCTTGTCATTTTCCTTTTATGTCTTTGCAGACCCTTTTATTTTACTTTCTGAATCCCACTGTTCTAGAATTTTTTAATTGGCTACATCATAGTTGTTTATTTCTATTTACTAGAATCACCTATTAGAGAACCACTGCCATAAAAAGTAAAAAGCAGTCACAAAGGAAATATTTCCATCTTATACTTACTGTAAATTCTTCTTCCTCTTCATCACCAGATTCTCCAAATATATCTGCAATAAGATTTCTAGAAGGGAAGGAAATATAAAAAAACTTTCATTTGCTTTCTTCTCATCTGCATCGAAACCTAAAATCTTTATAATGGGGTATAATTTACATAAAGTAAAATGTGCCACTCTCACATCATTTTAAATGGGTTTTGACAAAAGTACACATTCAAGTAACCATTACCCTAATTAAGATATAGAACAATTTCATCTCCCTAGAAAGTTTGCTTGGGGCCTTTTCCAGTCAGTTTCCCACATCAACATCCTAGAGCTAACCACTATTCTGATTTCTATCACCAGATTAATTCTATCTATTCTTGAACTTCACGTAGTGGAATGAGACAACATGTCCTCTTTTTTTCATCTGAGATCATATTTTTGAGATTCATCTATGTTGTAGTATGTATCGACAAATCAGGAAGCAGAATCCCAATTCCCCCAATGTTATGCAATTAGACAACATATACCGTATTATAGCTCACACAAAATTTTAATGCAAGTTAAACTGTTTCAACCACCGCATATGCATCCTTGAAAACTCATGTTATTATGTCACTTACTCTTCTTCATTCCCCGTCTCACTATCACTCCCAAACAGATCCTTCTCTTCATTTTTCTTATCAGATCGTTCTTTCCCTGCTTCTTCTTCTTCACTGTCAGATGCTACAGCCTTCTCTTTTTTGCCTGATTTGTCTGATATAACATCACTGTCAGAGTCCTCTGCATCAGAGATAACGCGAATCTTCTTTGCTGCTAGAAAAAGAAGTCCTCATTAACCTTACTGTCATGGTCACTGTATGACTAAGTACAGATACTTTAAAAATTACAGTACATGGCAAAAAATCCAAGGCCTCCTGACATATAGAATTATAAAAAAATAACTAAAGCTTCATTCAGAGTCACCTTACAATTATTTGTTATTGTTTAGGAAAAAGCAGCCAAAAGATGAAGAATGAAATCATCAACATGAAAATGGGCATGAATACATCAATAGCTACCTTTCCTTTTGGGGAAGAAAAAATAAGACAAGAATGATGCACCTACTTGTGTACCTTCTACTGCTGCTTAGTACTGGCAGAATTAAAAAGGCTGGATATTCTTTTGTGGAATCCCCATGTTCCTTGATCATTGCTGGTCAATTTGGAATTTTTCATCTTGCTCAATAAACTACCACATGTGTAGTGCTCTTTTTCCTTCTCCTGTAACAACTATCAGGTTATAAAGGAATGTGTCTTTTCCAAAAAAGGTAAGTTTCATAAAGAAGTAATCAAGTAGCAAAGACTAAAATACTCTGCAGATATGAAGTCTCTAAATGAAGAGGTGTGTACACATGAGAGCTTAGTCACTGTCTGATGGCATCTAGGGCATAAGCGGTCTAAGAGTCCCACAGCTAACTCTGGTTACACTTCAGTTTCCATATAAATATTACCCTTTCCAGTAAAACTATTAAATCTTTCTTATTTCCATTGAAATTCAGTCTAGTTTATCATTTTGACGCAGTCAGAACTTAACAAATGCTGTTAGAACAACTCAAAAGAAATTTAACACTAAGATTAATCAAGGAAAATCAGAGAAACCCATATCCTGGTGATACTTCAGAACTTCAAGTTGAATGAGAGAATACAGATCTAACATTCCAGAAAAAGGCAATGCTTTATAGTTATAAGCTTAGATGTTAAGTAAAGCTATGGATAAACAACCCAAAATAGTTCCTTACATGCTTTCTCTTCTTCACTATCAGAAAGTACAGCAGCTTTTCGTTTTGCTTTCTCCGCCTCCCTGTCTTTTTCTTCATCTTCATCACTGTCAATTTTTGGTCTTTTTGGTTCATCCTCCTCACTGTCAGAACTATGAAACCTGTTCCTGTCTATATGGCTATCTAAATGAAAAGAGTTTTTCTGCATTTCGGTGTCCTCCCCCTTATTCTCCCCATCGCTGTCATCATCTGACTTTGGCTTCTGTTTGTGTCTAGAGGCCTCCTCAGTGTCTGAATCACTGGCTGGTCCCTTCTGAGCTTCCTCACTCTCAGAGTCACTGACTTGAGGTTTGGGAAGTTCATTTTCAGAATCACTGGCCTGGTTCCTTGGCGGGTCCTCACTCTCCGAATCACTAATTCGGGGTTTGGGAAGCTCCTCATTTTCAGAGTCACTGACTTGGTTCCTCGGGGGTTCCTCACTTTCCGAGTCACTGATACGGGGTTTGGGAAGCTCTTCAGTTTCTGAGTCACTGGCTTGGTGCTTTGGTGGGTCCTCACTTTCTGAGTCGCTGATATGAGGTTTGGGAAGCTCCTCATTTTCAGAGTCACTGGCCTGAGTCCTTTGAGGCTCCTCACTTTCCGAGTCACTGATCTGAGGTTTAGGAAGTTCCTCACTTTCAGAATCACTTATCTGAGGTTTGGGCAGCTCCTCATTTTCAGAGTCACTGGCCTGGTTCCTTGGAGGTTCCTCACTCTCAGAGTCACTGATTTGAGGTTTTAGAGCATCCTCTGTTTCAGAGTCAGTGGTAGGACTTTTGGGGAGCTCTTCATTCTCTGAATCACTGGCAGGATGCTTTCTAACATCTTCATTTTCTGAGTCACTGGCATGCCCATTAAGAAGTTCCTCATTTTCAGAGTCACTAACAGGCAATTTCTTGGTCTCCTCACTCTCAGATTCACTCCCATGGTGATTGATAGCCTCATTTTCAGAATCACTTGCAGGAGGCTCTGCCTGTTCTTCAGATTCAGAGTCACTGTCCTTTTGCCTTTGAAGCTCCTCACTTTCAGAATCACTAGCATTAAGATTTGAGGGGTCATCATTCTCAGAGTCTGTCACATGATGTCTTTTGTTGAGGCCATCTTCTCGATCACTAGGCTCATTCTGAAAAAATAAAGGGAGAAACAAATGAGAAAAGTACAAAGAAATGTTTGGTAATGAAATGTTAAATTTTTTCAACAACTTTTTGAAATGTAGGAATATAGCGCTGGCTGGTGTGGCTCAGTGGTTTGAGCACCAGCCTGCAAATCAAAAGGTCACTGGTTTGATTCCCATTGCAGGCCAGGCCCCGAGTTGGGGGAGTGCAAGACGCAACCGACCAATGTATCTCTCACGCATCGGTGTTTTCCTGCCTCCCTTCCCCTCCTCTAAATAAATAAAATCTTCAAACAAACAAACAAACAAAATATAGGAATACACACACTTAAATGTAGTATTCTTGTCTAATAGCCACATAGAAACATCCCACTTTAAAGAAGGCCATCTATCTATAAAATGGCTAACATGGTTTGGATTCCAAAATGGTGAAGAGATAACCAGCTTTCACCAACACAAATTTGTAAAGCATATCCCCTGATTACAGAAGACTTATAATTTAAAGAGCTTAAAAAAAAAAAAAAAAAAAAGCCTAACTTTCTCACATAGTTCTAGCTCCTACACATATTTTTCAAAGTAATATGAACATGTACCTAAATTTTTAAAAAACGGTTTTGCAAGGTTAAAATAATGTTTTTTATATTTTATTTATTTATTTAGAGAGAGAAAGGAAGGGTGGGGGAGAAAGAGGGAAAAAAAACATCAATGTGAGAGAGAAACAGCAATTGGTTGCCTCCTGCATGCACCCTGACCAGGGACCGAACCTACAACCTAGGCACGTGCCCCTTCCATTCATGGATACCTAACCAACTAAGTCACACTGGTCAGGGCAGGTTAAAATTATTTTAAGGGAAAGAAATATGAAACTTTAAAGGGTCAAAAAGTATATAAGGCATATTCTCCCAAGTGAATCTAAACAAACAAGGAACAGTGTAATTAGTATTTACTAAGTACCTAATAAGAGCCAACTACCATGTTAGACTCTCTCCTATTAATTCATTTACTCTTCACAACAGTACTTTTCATTGTAAGAAAACTGAGGCTTGGAGCAGCCTGGATCATGTATCTAGTAACCCAGGTAAGAAAAGTTTAAGTTTTAGGGAAAACATGACAAATCTAACTATATCGACACAGAATGTTACTTGAAGTAATCTGAAAATATAAAAACTTAGTATATGCGTTTTATAGCTATGTTTTTTAAAATGAAGAGAAAATGTATACAAAATTAAAAATACAAAGACACTTTAGGATCCGGGGAATTTTTTCCCCATCTAGCATCTGACTTTCAATAACATAGTGATAACATCCTGGTTTAAAAAGTCACAGTATTTCTGTGTTAAAAATTTACTAAGTCTATAATTTACTAAGTCTATTCACTAAATATTTCTCTTTAGAATATATGACTGATATTACATAAACTTACCACATGTCAATTTCCAAGGAACAGAGTCTTTTAATAATGTATATGCCCACCAATCACAGTATAAAATAAATTAAGTGCTAAGAGAATCCAGTGACAAGATAAATGGCATGACATGTTTTCACAAAACCTGTATTTTGACCCCTTCAGGAGCTGCTGTCTACTGAGAAGCCAGCCGAATATATCCTAACACCACTGTGAAGGTATGCATAATTATTTTGAAAGTCTACAGAAAATGACTGAGCTATAAAAGGGTACAACAAGTATCTGCATTAGTTAAGAAGTTAACTAGATTAATGATGTGGAAAAGAGAGACATACAGATTCCAGCAGAAGCAACTAAAGCATGAGGCACAAGTAAAATTGTAACCGGATTTTCAATGCTCTCTACAACATGCCTGTGACATATCTCTAACTCATGTTTGTGGGTGACTCTGTTTGAGTTGCAAACAACAGAAACCATCTCCGGGGGGCTGGGGTGGGAGACAATCTTCCCAGAATCAAAGTGGGATGAATGATTAAAGACTCAGGGAGGGTAGGAATACCAAGACAGATTAACCTGAGAGCTTAGAAAATGGAATTCAAGGATCTTTCCACTAGAGCATCATACAAACAAGTCACCTAATCATGCTAAATTTCACTGTCTAGGACCTAACATTTAAATTTGCAGGAAAGATAACCTAATTGGCTACAGCAATATCAGATGCTGTGAGACTCGGTGATTTGACAGGTTACAGCAAGAGCAGGAACACAGCACTGGGAGCCACTCCCCAAGGGAAAGACACCATGAACTGGGCAGTCATCCCAAAACTTACCTGCTACACTCTACCCCAGATTTCCTAATACATGATGTATGCTTTCCAAAACAAGCAACTGTTACAAGGATATTACATATGATAATGATTACAAAACTTATGAATTCCCATCAATTTTAAGGAGTTTCATAAAAACTGGATTATCTATCCATTATTTGTGGTATGGTAGGGTAAGGGGGGAGGTAAGAAATTACTGCAGTAAGCCATTGCCAGGTAGCTCAGTTAGTTGGAATGTTGTCCCATACACCACCAAGAGGATGTAGGTTTGACTCCCATTCAAGGCACATGCACAGACTGCAGGATCGATCCCCAGTTGGGGTGCATATGGGAGGCAACCCAATCAACGTTTCTCTCACACTGTTGTTTCAAATTCTCTCTCTCAAATCAATAAAGATATCCTCAGGTGACACTTAAAAAAAAAAAAAGGAAAAAGAAATCACTGCAGTAAGAAAGTGCTATTTGATAAACTCAAGTCAGAGCACGCAGTTAGGTAATGAAATCATGAGATTTGGTAAAAGAGCACATTAGAAATTATAAGCTCACAAGTTACCAAAATAATATTACAAATTTTTAGACTACCTTTATACTGAAATTAGTTTAAATTGCAAACAAAAAAAAATCCAAAGTACAGCTTTTTAAGTCATATATGAATAACTCAATAGTAGAAACTGTCATTTAAACACCTGCTTCTTAATGTAAAAATCCCCTAATGTAACTGTCAGAGAAACTGAGCATTCTGAGGGTTCTTAGAGACTTTAGAAATGCCTATAACACATCACACCTTCCCCTCTTACAGTCATTCACACTACAGTTATAAAATAAGTACTGGTTATCCACAATGAATAATCTGGTCACTTATCTCAAAATATGTTCCCTAGTAATCACCCTCCTAATGGACTAGTGCCACAATACACACAGAGATAACCGACATTTTCAAATTACAGTGTAAATAATTAACTGTCTTAAAGCAAATATCAATGTATAAATTTCAAAGTAGTATAGGAATGTCAGGTAGAAATCCTTGTCAAGAGCCAAAACAACTCAGAACACTTGTTAATACAGAGTCAAACTCGAAATGTAGAACTTGAATGCTAACCTACCACTAAAAATTGATAAATTACCCAAGTCACACAGTATATTCCATGAGGAAACATAGGAACTATGTTTTAAATTTTATTTTTATTGTTTATGCTGTCAGTTTTTCCTGCTTTTTCTCCCTTTCTCCACCTCCACTGAGCTGCACCCTTTCCCCTCCTCAAGCTAGTCACCATATTGTTGTCCATGTACATGGGTTGTGCACAAATGTTCCTTGGTTAATCCCTTTGCCAACTTTCATCCCATCCCTCCTCCCCTTTCCGGCAGCTGTCAGTCTGTTCTATGCATCCAACCTGTTACTCTTTTGTTCCTTGGTTTATTGTGTTCATTAGATTCCACACATAAATGAGACCACATGGTATTTTTCTTTCACTGACTGGCTTAATTCACTTAGCATAATTTTCTCCAGGTCCATCCATGCTGTTGCAAAATGTAAGTTTCTTCTTTTTTTACTGTTGTGTTGTATTCCATTCTGTAAATACACCACAGCTTTTTTATCCACTCATATACTGATGGGCGCTTAGGCTTTTTCCAAATCTTGGTTATTATAAACAGCACTGCTACAAACACAGGGGTGCATATATATTTTTTGTATTGGTGTTTCAGGATCTTTGGTGTATATTCCCAGAAGTGGAATCACTGGGTCAAAAGGAGTTCCATTTTTAACTTTTTAAGGATACCCCATATTGCTTTCTGTGGCTGCACCAGACTGCATTCCCACCAACAGTGCATTAGGGTTCCCTTTTCTCCACATCCTCACCAACACTTACTGTTTGAGTTACTGATGGTAGTCATTCTGACAGGAAAAAGGGGATAACTCACGGAGGTTTTAGAAAAGTAAGGACCTACAACCACGGCTACTGTATGCAGCAAGGCTATCATTTAAAATAGAAGGAGAAATAAGGAGCTTCCCAGACAAGAAAAGCCAAAGGAGTTTGTTAACATCAAACCAGTACTGCAACCAATGTTAAAGGACTTGATTTACTGAGGTTTTAATTTGCATTTCTTTGATAATTAGTGATGCTGAGCATTTTTTCATATGTCTATGGGCCCTCTATATGTCCTCTTTGAAAAAGTGTCTATTCAGCTCTTTTGACAATTTCTTAATTGGGTTGTCTGTCTTCCTGGCACTGAGTTGTATTAGTTCTTTGTTTATTTTGAGGACTAAACCCTTGTCAGATGTGTCATTGGGGAAAATGTTCTTCCACACAGTGGGTTCCCTATTCATCTTGTTACAGGAACATTTTCAAAAATGTATTTCATTGCACCTTGGTTCTGGAAGATCTATCTGAAATCCTCATCTTAAGAGTCTGTTTATATATACCAACTTACTTAGCATGTGAAAGAATTTGAGCAATCTAGCAATGAAACAACAATCCTTAACCTAATGAACCTTCTAGAGTGTTGCAAGCTTTGACTTTGAGAAACTCTAACTGTACAGCAAGCATACAGATGATAAAATAAGGCTATACACCAGAGTGTCCTTTGTCTCTGAAAAGTTAGTTCATTTCGGAATCAGACAGAAACAAAGAAACTCCTGATGACAGTACTGGGAAAAAAAATTGTACACAAAGCTTAAGAGTTTATAATGATGAAGCAAACTCCTAACTATGATTCCAGACTCATTTCTCCCTTCTCACCAACATCAACCCCATGCACTTTACAAACAACAGCAGTTCC